AGAGAGAGAGAGAGAGAGAGAGAGAGAGAGAGAGAGAGAGAGAGAGAGAGAGAGAGAGGGCTCAGGTTCTGGGAAAGGCGACGAGCTTGGATTGCATACTGGCGGCCCCTGGCTTCTGGGAGAATGAGGGTCAGCGTAGGGACGTTTGGGGCAACGGGATTGTGTAGTGGCTCACAGCTGTAGGCAGGCTTGCAAAATAAGTACAGAATCTACAGATGAGATAGTCTGATACGTCATATGAGGTGATAATTCAATCTGAATGATGATTGAAATTCATTAAATCATCACAAGTGCTTTCTTTACACAAGCCCTCACAGATTTGCATCATATGAGATTGTTGTCATTCAATCCTGATTTGCAAAATAAGTACAGATGGGAGATTCCGATACTCTGATACATCAAATGAGACGGTTCGTCGAATCCGGACAACATATGATAAACAGCCGAGTGCTTTTCACAAGCCCACAGAGAGCGCAGGGTCTGTGAAGAACGGAAAAAGTTTAGCTTAGCACTTTTGTCGAATAGTGTAGTTTCACCTCGTTCCTATTACTGTCTTTTTTTTTTCTGTGTTCTTTTTAATGGGTGATAGATACGTGCCAATATTTGAGTGCTTTCACCCATTCGGCGTGGTCCTCACTGGTGTATGTATACATGTGTAACATGACCAACCAAGGACACTGAGTTGCGCTTATTACGATGTAAAAGTTCATCCAGTGGACCAGTTTTCAGTTTGTGGTATGGGCTCGGCTTGGGCCTGCCTTGGGCCCGCCTGGGGCCGAGCCACTTTCCCAACACAGGGCGAAAGGGTCTCACGTGACAGTGTCTCGTAAGACCGTTTTTTTTTTTTTTTTTTTTTTTTTTAAGAGTAGAAATAATGCATCATGGATCCTCTGCTGGCACAGTCCCCGACCACCCTCACAACCTATTTAAAGGAAGAAAAAGGGGAAAAAAAAAGCGTAATGGATGACTCCGAGTCCATGTAGCTATGTAAGACATTACAGGAATTTTATGGGTATTGTATAATAAAAAAAATAATAAATAATAATAATATAAATATATACATACTTCTCCCTCTCTGCCTGCGGTTTTGACGATATATATATTCTATTTGTGACGATATATATGATATATATTAAACAGATATACTATTATGATATTATCATAGTAGTAAATTATTAGTAATATGAATTTTAAGAATATATATGTGATGTTAAATCATATTAAAATTTTTAAATGATATCATCAGATTATTAGATTAGATCATTAAGTATGGCAGTTTCATCTGCTGCTGATTAAAAACCAGGTGGAATATGCATTAATTTTTCAAATTGTCATTAAATAAAAATATATATAATATGTAAAATAGATATCTAGTTGGGAAAGACTTCGCAGTGTTCCCACGTCTGTCTGTCGTTCAGCCAGCTGTCACACCAATAGGCCTTGATCGAGTCAGATGTAGAATTCTTCATAGCATTCCTTAGTGCAGAGCAATAGGCATCCTGGACGAATAGAACTGCTACCCTTCTTCTCTAATTGGAATTTCCCATTCAAATTTCAAAAAAAAAAAAAAAAAAAAAAAAAAAAAAGAAGAAGAAGAAGAAGAAGAAGAAGAAGAAGAAGAAGAAAGAAAGAACTTCAAAGAAGCCTTCTATGATCCCCTTCTAGCCTTGTAAGGGATAGATAAATAGCCTTGTATTACCCTTCGGTCAGTTTTTAACTTTTTATAAACAATGTCTTAAATCTCGATAAATGGGCCTTTCTCAAAAAAACTTTAAAAATGTTAATGATTAGTCACTAGTGTTAAATGAGTACTAATTAGTAATTAGTACTTATTGATAATTAGCCCTACCTGATGAATAGCCTGTCTGTTGCACAACCGTTAGATAGCATCGATATCAAGTCAAAAAAAAACCTATGTGTGTAGTGGTATATTCATAGGATGGACTATAGTATAGAGTCTATTGAGTGAGGTTATCAAGTCAACAACCTATGTGTGCAGTGCTATATTCATAGGATGGACTATAGAGTCTAGTCACTCTAGTGTATGTGTTGCCTGTTGCATGGATGCTTATTGCACCAATGGACGATGGTATGTATGACCTATTTGGCTAAATCCAGTGATCTCCTTTCACGACAGGCTATGGTCCCCGGAATGAGTTCGTCATTCCAGGTGTCTTTCATGCATGCTCCACGCATGAAATAAGTCGAATCAATGGACGATTGGATGTATAGCCTATCGTATCATGGATGGACAATTGTATGTATGCATTGTATGGCCTATATTGCATCATGGATGGGCTATTGTATGTATGGCCTGTTGCATCATAGATCGACTATTTTAGTATTTTATGTATGGCCTATTGCGTCATGCATGGATGGACTATTGTATGTATGGCCTATTGCACGGAGAATTGGAGATGTCATTGGCGATGGAGGATGGACTATTGAATGAAGAGATAGGACTCGGATGGATGTCCAGGTGTGTTATGTTCTTAGTGGCTTTCAGATGGATATGATCTGGCCACATATAAAACATATGACAGTGTCTAGACTCTATACAAGTCTATAGTATAGCCACTCTCATCCGATGCTTTCGCTATAGTTCTATTCTAAAGAACATCCCCCTTTCTCTCTATAGCATGAGTGTGTACTACTCCATAGACACAATGCCCATGGTTTTTTTTTTTTTTTTTTTTTTTTTTTTTTGGTCTATGAAGTCCCTTGTGTGAAGTGGATGTGTCTTCTCGAACCCCCGATATTTTGTAAATTACTAAATTAGCCAATTGTACAATCAAATGATTGACAACAGCCGATGCTTACCCATATGACTGCACACACAGACATCCATGCCTGCACACAGATGTAGGTCAGATGTCAGTGTTGTGCTGCTTTGCAGGCTTGTCATTACTGATACTTAAACCTGCCGCTAACCCTCCACTACCACAGTATTGCTCTGGTTGCCGGGCCGCCTGTCCCTTTTCCGGTCATCCGTCAGATTGACGATCAAGCGGTACCTTTTTTTTTCTTTTTTTCTTTTTTTTTTCTTTTTTTTTTGCACTATGCAAGGGGTAGGCCTGAATTTTCCGGAAGTAGTAATTGTACTTGAAATCGATTTGTGTCTCGTCCTCACTGTCATCGAGAAGGGGAAAAGTAGGTATTCTCCACCCTGTTGGGGGCTCTCCTCAAGTTGCAGCACGTCGCTCTTTGAGGCTGGCCCGCACGTCCACGTCTTCCAAGCTCTGTGGTCCTTGCACGTGTTCTGCAACTAATTAGTGGAAGGACCAGTCAGAACTGACTTGACTCTGGGGTCCTTTTTTCCACGAATCCGCGCCTTCTGAGATCTGTGATAGTCGGAATTTTTTTTTTTTTTTTTGGGGGGGGGACAATTTAATCATTGAGAGGCTTGTCAGGCTGGGGCCCGCTTTTGTGTGGTCGATTGGTCGATCATCCCGTTGCGCGCATTTCGACGTCTGTAAAGCTTCCAATGTGCTCGCTGTGCGTCTATCAGCGGTTCTCCGACCCTCATGCTCTCGTTGTTATATTCCTCGAAGAGACCGGCATTGTCTGCGACTTGTGATGCTCTTGCTGTTATATGCTGTGAAGAGAGACCTGCATTGTCTGCGGCGACTATCGTGCGCGCTCGCTGTTATGAGCTGAGAAGAGAGAGCTGCGTCGTCCGTACCGAAGTCCGGCATCCAGAAGGCGGGCACGGCGCATTCGTCATCGGCCTGCCAAGTCAATACACTCCTACGCCCTCGCAGACCGATGACGCATCCGTCGACATCTTGCTGAGAAGAGAGCGCTGCAGTGCCATAGCCCTTCTGAGATGCATTGGTGTGCAACTTATGCACAGTGGGAAGACCCGGGTCTCTTTTGTACCAGGGCTTCAGGGGTCCAGCCATCGGCAGACTGTGTTCGCTGCTGGGACCAGGGCATCGGTGGTCCTGTCGTTGGAAGACGTCTACCGCGGCTCAGAAGAATTGAAGAATGTAACAGTCTGCACAAGAGAGACTTGCCCGCTAGTATGCAGTGCGGACAATTTGCAGAAAATTTGCAGTCAGGTAGGGGGTTAAGCCGGATAAGGGTCTCCATGCAGGTCAGTGTTTTGAAATGATTTCCTTTTAGATTTAGGGTTTAGGGTTTAGGACTTTGTCGACACACCAAACGCTGTGGCGAATGGTTGGCGACTCCAAAATATAAGGATTTGGCAAAATGAGAGACTCACGGTGTCTTTTTCTTTTTTAGATCTTGTGCCGCCTGTCCTACACATAAAAGACAGGTGAAGCATGTGCAGTATTGTGTACTGATCTTCAGTCAACACACACACACACACACACACACACACACACACACGCACACGCACACGCACACACACACACACTAGCGGT